GTATACTTCTGACCCCTTTCAACAGCTATATCGAGATGAGGACATAGAGAGACACTTCACAGTTAGTCACACACCACAGCAGAATGAGGTGGCAGAAAGGTTAAATTAATCTTTGCTAGAGAATGTCCGATGTTTATAGTCACAGAGTGGTTTAGAGAAGATCTTTTGGGCTGAGGCACTTTCTTATGTCAGTTACCTCATTAATATATTGTCTTCATCTGCGATTGAGGGGAAGACCCCTATGAAGATGTGGTTAGGAGAGCCAGCACATGACTATGATCGGCTTAAGGTATTTAGGTGCCATGTATTTTATCATGTCAGAACTGATAAATTAGAACCTCGACCTAAGAAGACCATATTTATGGGATTCAAGCATGGCATCAAGGGATATAAGCTTTGGGATCTAGTTGATAAGAATATTGTGCTGAGTAGAGATGTCACATTCGATGAGGCTTCTATCTTGAAGTTTCTCAGCTCTCATCAGGTGGAGAGCGACCCGACATTAGAGACATCGCAGGTGATGGAGATTGATGTAGCTCCATATTATCTAGATTAAAGGCATCGCAGGTGATGGAGATTGATGTAGCTCCATATTATCTAGATGAGACCGTATCCATTAGAGTGTCGACTGAGGTAGAGCCAGACGAGCACGGTGATGATTTGGAGGATACAAGTACAGTTAAGCAGGATTAAGGACCGACGGTTCAGGTTCAGGATTCTATTACGGTTCGGAGACAGAGGAGAGACATACGGATACCAGCTAGGTATACAAACACAGTTGTTGCGTATGCACTTTTGGTGAAAAGTATCAATGAGATGGTTCCTACTATATTCAGAGAGGTCGAACAGAGTTTGGAGACTGATCTGTGGCAGATGGCTATGCAGGAGGAGATGGAGTCTCTTCATAGGAACGACACATGAGAGCTTGTCGAGCTTCTAAAATGACGGAAGACAATTGGTTACAAATGGGTGTATACGAAGAAGGAGGATATTGAAGGCACTCTCGTGAGGTTCAAAGCTAGGTTGGTTGTGAAGGGATATATACAGGAGGAAGATATTGATTATAATGAGGTTTTCTCTTCGGTGGTGAAGCATTCTTCGATTCGGATTTTGCTAGCTTTGGTGGCACAATATGGTTTAGAGTTAGATCATTTAGATGTAAAAATATCATTTTTTATGGTGATCTTGATGAAAAAATTTATATGACTCAGCAATTAGGATTCCAAGCTACAGTGAAGGATAAATTGGTTTGTAGATTGAAGAAATTGCTATACGGTTTGAAGTAATCCCCTCGACAGTAGTATAAGCGATTCGATGGGTTCATGATTGGTCATTCGTATATTAGGAGCTAGTTTGATCCCTGTGTGTACTATCATAAGTTGAATGGAGGTGCGTATATTTATTTATTGTTTTATATCGATGACATGTTAGTTGCTTCTACTTCCAAATCCGTGATAGATAGATTAAAGATTCAGCTTTCGAGCGAGTTTGAGATGAAGGATTTGAGTGAAGCTAAACACATTTTGGGGATGGAGATCAGAAGAGACAGAGACAATGGCAGAATTTGTTTGACATAGGTGGCTTATTTGAAGAAGGTTCTATAGCGTTTTAATGTGAGCATGAAAACGAAGCTAGTTACTGTACCATTGGGAGTCCATTTGAAGTTTTCAGCTGACCTTTCACTAAAGACAGTTCAAGATCGAGAGTTAATATCGAAGACTTCATATCCGAGCGTAGTTGGAAGTTTGATGTACGCTATGGTTTGTACGAGGCCGGATTTATCACAGACAGTGAGCATAGTTTCTAAATACATGTACAACCCAGGTCCATGTCATTGGGATACCGTGAGATGGATTTTGGGGTACATTCGAGATACTCTTAACTTTGGTTTGATTTTTAAGCGGGACACTAGCGGTGTGTAGCTTTGTATTGAATACGTAGATTCAGATTACACTAGAGATTTGGATAAACGTCGGTCTACTACGGGATATGTGTTCACTTTGACCCGTGCACCGATGTGTTAGAGATGCACCTTGCAGTCTACAGTGGTTTTGTTTACGAAGGAGGTAGAGTATATGGCGATTACAGATGCTGTTAAGGAGGCTATTTGGCTTTGAGAACTTTTGGAGGATCTTGGTGTTTCACAGCGATCCGTCACTATTCATTATGATAGCATGATTACTATCTATTTGGTAAAGAATCAGATTTTTCATACGAGGACGAAGCACATTGACGTTCATTATCACTTTGATCGAGATGTTCTTAAAGATGGGGATGTGGATATTATGAAAGTTCACACAAAAGACAATCCAACAGATATGCTTATAAAGGTGGTTCCGAACAATAAGTTCGATCATTATAGAAACTTATTGTAAATTAGTGATTGTTGAGTCCGTTCGCGGCCATTTAGATGAACTACGGGCAGCTTGATCCCTTGAGAGAGGGGGGTACGTAGGCAATCACATTGGCGCAGTTGCATTTGGTGAGACGACGTATTGGTACTAATGTTGGTGTCGGCTCAGTTTTGGGAACACTTCGTCGAGGTGGAGAATTATAGAAAACGACGTCAAATTATTCAAAGTGTTAGCAAACATGAAGTTTCGATAGAGGTGTGGTGTTTGCCACACCTAGGTGTGGCAGAATATGCCCTTGTTGTCAGGGGTGTGGTGTCTGTCATATCCAGGTGTGACAGAATCTGTCATGTTTTTAGGGGTGTGATGCGTGGCACACCTAGGTGTGGCAGACTCATTTTCAGATTCCCACCATGTTTGAGATTGTGTTTTATTATAAAAAGAAATACGTTTTTAGGGTTTCTTAAGGAGAGAATTAGCATTATTTTGAGCACTTTGAGAGGGAGATATTATGAGGGAGTTGAGAGCTTTAGTTAAGGTTATATTTGAGTAATTTTATGAGTTGTAACCCGTTGTATTTCTACTTCATATAGTGAAATCTCCCTATCCTCTCCCCGTGGACGTAGGCAATTGTCAAACCACGTAAATTCTTGTGTTTGGCTTGATTTGTGTCGTATTTTGGTGAATTGCACTCGTAATTTGGTTTGGTTCTCTTCTCTCATCACTCACCGACTCGTTTGGTTGTCGAGCACGCTTCCGCACAGCACACAACAGTTGATTGAACCCTATATCTTGTTTCAAGGTGGTTTCCATATTAATTAGGAAATGTAGGTGGTTCTTTTATAATCACCATATGTTTAAGGTGGTTTCCATGAAAACACCCTAGATTATTATGTTAAATAATAATTATTTAAAAATAAATATTAATTTGGTAAACCATCCTTATTTTGATGAACTAATGGCAAGAACAAAAATGAATGCATATTGTAATTCACTTAAACAGTTCAGACGATGCCAGGTAACAAAAGATAACTAGTGCAAGCACATAAATAAAAATAATTAGTGGCCAAGTACATAGAAGAAAAGACCTAGTGTTCGACCATATAAAAACTAATGTGTATATTTAAATATATAAATATTAAATATATTAGAAAATTTTATATAAACATTTGACATCAAATATTTGAAAGATTTAATATTAAATATTTTTATTATTTAATAAATTAAAATTTTGAATATTACATATATTTAATATTTATGTTTCTAGTATATTTCATTTCTAACATTAAAATAAAAATGAAATGAATGTAATATAACATTAATTATTTAAAATATTTATATATTTAAGAAATTTTAAATAATAAAATATCCAATTTAATATTAGTGTTAAATATATTAAATATTTTTACTATTTAATAAATTAAAATTTTTGATATACATATATTTAATATTTATATTTTTAGTATATTACATTTCTAACATTGAAATAAAAATAAAATGAATGTAATATAACATGAATTATTTAAAATATTTATATATTTAAGAAATGTTAAATAATAAACATATCCAATTTAATATTAGTGTTAAATATATCAAGTGATTACATAGTAGTAGATATATTTCATTTTAAATGAATTAAATAAAAATAGTAGATTACAAGTATTTTAAAATTAAATACATTCAATGTTAATATATAAATAATTTAGGAATATGGTATACTTTAAAATTAAATGTATTTACTTTAAAATATATTAAATAAGTAAAGAGAAGGAAAAAGTTGAAATCAATATAGTGAGATATCAATTCACCAATTTTAACTTGAACTTTCTCTAGAAAAATTTTCATTAAAAACTATGGCGGTGGAATGAGGTGTGGATTTTGAAATCTTAATCCTAATAACAATCTAGCACAACCAATAACACCTCCTTAAAATTTAAATCCATATTCTAATCCAAAATGAATAACATCATAAATTAGAATCGAAGGAAAATATTAGATCCGAATTAAAAGTTCTCAACCAATAACCCGCCAAACAAACCCTTCAAATCCCTCTAATTTGGATTCTTTCTCAGCAACTGTTTCAATTGCTCTCCTTCCACAATCCCACAATCGAAGCCGCTTGAGCAACCTCACATAATCCTGTAAAGACAAACAAAGTTATAAAAACATCCTCACACTTCCCTCCAAATTCCCATTTCTTATTCCTTGTTGAAGGACAAGTGGAGCCCATGCACACTTCCACCTCTTTATTTGTTATACACTCTGTTTTTCTTAACCTCGTTATTTCCAAAGATTTCTCAAAATAATAAAAAAAATAATAAAATTTTGTAATTATGTAAATGGTTAGGCTACAATTATGCATGAGGCTTCTTATACTCATCACATATAATGTATGAGAGCCCAGATCAACTAGGACAGTTAAGGGCATTTTGTCTATTCTGAGGGGCAAATTTATCATTTCAACTGAATAATGATAGGGTTGGTTTTTGTAATTATCCTCCGTGATTTCATATAACAGCAAAACAGTACACCTTAACAGTACATCCTGTAAAAATTTTCCCCTTTTTATTTTCTATGTATGCAACTTTTAAATATAATAGATTTTCTTCCTATCTATAAGATTATATCCTTATATAGAAAAATAATAATAATGTTTTATTTTTATTTTTTTTCACCTCGGTTTAAACAAAAGAAGCTTTTCGTATATATAGACCCTCCGTTGTACTGGGCTCGGAGATGAATACTATTGCTCTCTGCTGCTGAAGAGAAATGAGAGAGTAGTTCAAGCAAAGCAAGAGAGTGAGTTACTTGCTCTTTAGATTATTTTTAGTCTATAATTGCATGTTCCCCCCCTCAAGTTTGTAATGTTGCCGTGTCGTAAAAATCTAATCTTTTTAGATGGGTTTTGTAAATGAGTGTTTTTCTCTTCAGATTTAAGCCCAAAAACTGAACTTGATGTTGTTTTCTTGAGATTTTCTGTGTGCTTGGAGATGGGTTTCACTTTTTTTTTCAGTTTGTTGCTTAACTGGAAATGGGTCATTGATCTTTTTCATTTTTTCATTTTTTTCATTTTTTTGCTTTCATTTTTCTTCTTCTGCCGTTTTAAAATTTTGGGTTTTGATCTTCATTGCATCCAGTATTTTTAATTTGGTTTTGAACTAACTGGAAATGGGTCGTTGATCTTCTTCATTCTTTCTGCTTCTCCCGTTTAATTTTGGGGTTTTGATCTTTATTTGTCAAGTATTTTTTGTTTAGATTTGAATGCAAAAGGTATAGAAAGTACCCATTTTAGCATGTATTTTTTGAAGGTTCTTTTTTTTGCCCCTTAGATTATGGGTTTTTAAAATTTCGTAGAGGGAAAAAAGATTTACTAATGCTAAAAGTTAAGGTTTCACAGTAGAGGAAAATATAGTAGGAAATTTCAATTTCCTCTTTTTTGCATCTTTTCTCTTCCATTAAAGTGATAGTTATGGTTGGATGTTCTATTGCTTAGATTTTTTTTAGATAAAAGGTTGCTCCTTTACCAGATCCATTGTTTACTGGAGTTAGCATGCTTAAGATAATGATAGTTTAATGTGGAGTATGAAGCTCTTTTTCAGTTGCATAGCTTTTATTTTTATTTATTTATTACTATTATCTGCATGTAGAATTCCTTTTTCCTTGAACCCAAAAGTTTTCCTTTTAATTTTCTGCGTAAGTTGTTATAATGGCTACTCATCTCTTGTGCTTGCAGAAACAGGCATTGAAAATGGAAGATTGCACTACGATTGTTCTTGATAAAATCAAAAATATCGAGCCCGAAAATGCTAACAAAATCATGGGTTACCTTCTTTTGAACCATACCAATCAAGAAATTATGGACTATGCATTTGGTAACGATCAGCAGATCCTCTCTCTGATCAATGAAGCCAAAGCATATCTTTTATCTCCAAAGCCCATTGTTCCCATCTCAATACAAACTGAACAGTCCTCACAATTTCTCCCCTCTCAAACAATTTCCCGGCCGTTCTCTTCTCCATCAAGCTTTCGAATTCCTGCTCCTTATTTGGCCCCTCATAGCCCAAATGGTCTTATACCCTCATCTTACAATGATTTCTCTGGAATCCTGCAGAACCAAGCTGGGTTAGCTAATTTAGATGAACAGTTACATGTAATCAACCCCTTAGCTGTTGATTTCCCGGGGAATTTCTTATACCCAGATGCTCAATTTGGGGGAAGCTTGAGATCTCCTACTTCTAGCTTGCCTGAATTCTCAAACAAAGCTTGCCATTACTTTTATAAAGGGTATTGTAGGCATGGAAACAATTGTAAGTTTTTCCATGGTCAGCCTTCGATCGATAGCCTCTCTCAGTTGTATGGTCTTAATCAGAACGAGTTGATTAATGATGACTATATTTTATCTCCTGGGTCTCGAGAGCAATTAGAAGTTGAGATTAGTGAGTTGTTGAAAGCAAGAAAAGGGTTGCCTGTTTCGATTGCATCGTTGCCTTCGATGTATCTTGATAAATATGGGAAGGCTCTTCAGGCTGAGGGATATCTTACTGAGAGCCAGAGACATGGGAAAGCTGGCTTCAGCTTGACTAAACTGCTTGCTAGATTGAATAGCATCCGGCTAATTGACAGGTACTTTTCTGGCTTTCTGAATATAAAGTTATTGGAGTATAGTTATTGATATTTTCTATTTTTGGCTGGATCTCAGACCACATGGACAACATGTAGTTGTGCTAGCAGAGGATGCTCCAAAGTATGAATGCAGACATGAGAGAAATGATTCAGGAGCTGCACTTTCTAGTTCTCATCAAATCTATCTTACATTTCCAGCTGAAAGTTCGTTTACTGATGAAGATGTTTTGAACTATTTCAAGTAAATTTCACCTCCTTTGTTTTGATATTCTGCGTAGATGAAGGATTTTGATGCACATTATAGCTCTAGTTGTTCATATTACCTGCATTTTTTTCATTGTTAACAGGCAATTTGGTCCTGTTCGTGATGTGAGGATTCCTCGCCAAGAAAAAAGAATGTTTGGTTTTGTGAGCTTTCATTACCCTGAGACGGTGAGAACTATTCTATCGAAGGGGCACCCACATCACATTTGTGGCTCGCGAGTTCTTGTTAAACCTTACAAAGAGAAAACGAGGATGCATGACAGGTAGATTTTCTTTCTTTTAATTGTTCACTTCATCATCCTACTGTGCCCTAATTGGTTAATAGATGATATTGAATAGTTTAAGGTTTTCAAAACCAAAACGAGGATTTTAATGAAATGAGCCAGCATCTTTCTTGAGGTCAAAAAAAAATTTGCAGGATTTATATGCCCGTTGTGCTAATTTATTTGGTCCACGTTCAACCTGTCTTTATTTTTTTTTCCATCATATTGATACTTGCATGTATTTGCAATGCAGAAAGTACATGGAGAGATCTGAGTTTCCAATGTACTATCCTCCACAATGTTTCGATGTGGAACACAACGCTAGTAAGAATGTCACATATTGCTAGTATCTTGTTGAACTAAATATTTCCTTACTATTATTGTCTAAAGAACTTTAATTGTTTATAAATTACCCATTCAGTTCCAAGGGTCTATGAGAATTCCAGTTTACTGAGAAAACAACTGATCGAAGAACAGGAACATGCTCTTGAACTGGAGAGAACTCGTCTCCTTGGCCTTAAACTGACACCTAGGCGTTTGACACCCAATTCCTTCTTCAATTATGGAATGGATGACTTTAAATCGAAAGCAGGTATAGTTGGCAACAAGATTACTTGCATACTATCTCATTTTACTATTGCATATGCTCAATATTGTTTTCATGTTCATGGTAACAGATACTTTTATCTCTTTGCCCTATCAAAACAATGGCTCAACCAGTGATGATAAACCTCAACAAACTGGAAAAAGCTGCGGTGACCAGGATAAGTAAGTGCTAGTTCATTTTAAGTTACAATGTGATGATGGTATCATATGTCGAATACAGTGATTCTCTTATATACAGTTAAGCAGTGCAGAAAGATTCCGAGAGATCGCTTATGTGTATCAGAGAATCGCACCATATGTCAAGGATACTCATTAATCTCTATCTAGATCTCCTTAAAATCGACATTGTTTCATTGCTGTTGTCGCCATTTTTTGCAGCGGCCATATTGAACTCCCCGATAGCCCTTTTGCGTCTCCTCGCATAGGAAACAACAACATTTACACAGTCGTATAAACGAAGAAGACGAAAGAAGAAGATACAACATACAGTAGATTGTAGAGATATAGAGGTTCACAGTAAAGTTCTTCCAATTTCAGCTCAAGCTCTCTCACCTCCAACCACTAAAACAGCAGAGGCTTTCTCCACTCAAAATACTTTTTTGAGGAAGGTTGCAGAGTTTGATACAGAAGCTAAGATGAAATACAGAGCTATATACTTGTTAATGTTCTTACAGAAGCAAAATCTCCTTGGTGTGTACCAGAAAGCACAAAGGTGAATGGTTTCTTAGTAACTTTTTTAGACAGAAGCTGAATATGTTTATATAGACTTTGGGGAAGTTGGACTTATCTTATAACATATATAGCACTTGCAAATATTATTAACTTCAGTTTCATCAGTGTTAGATGAGGATGTGACTTGATTAGTGGAGTTTGGTATCTTTCTGCTGATGCGATCATGCGTTTTGGTTTTGGGACAGAAATTATTTGTGGGACTCACCCCCCCCCCACCCCCGCCCCCCACTCGCCTAATAGTGATCTTTGAACATTCCATTTTAGAGATTATAAAATGATATGGTATTATTGCTCAGTGCTGTAGCTAGCACAGAATATCCATCAAGGTTTATTGCTGCAACATAATCAATTAAACGATGCTGCCCAGTTGGTTCCCCTTAATTACAGTTTGGTGCTATTAACATTAAGTATTCTCCTCATATGGGCCAATGCATCTCCTAATCTTCGGTCTCTTGATTGGCTCTCTTCACTATTCCATTTGTCAGTTTCTTCAAATTGTCGAGTCTCCATCAGTTCCTATTTCCTTGTTCATTTTGATGGGTGAGGTCGTTGGGTTATTATTAATTCACGTGTACTGCAGAATACCGGGCTGTTGCACTTTATTTTGCACTTGTATATTTGCCCTGTTCTTGTATATTATTTATCAGCCGCATTAATTACTCTGCTCCTCATTCTTTTACCTTTTTTAAGCTGCTAAAGCTTTTTATTTCTCCAAGGTGAAGGTCTCTTCTTTGCCCTTAAAAAAGTCCTCATTGCAAAATATTGTAGCATCATAGATAGCATCAGTTACTTGGAAATAGGGTCAAGCTAGTCTCAGTCAGCATTTAGGAAAAGGGGGGTGCTGGGGGGTGGCAAAAAATAAAAAATGTCCACTTGTTCTTGAACCAACAAGCCAGCATCCAATGAGGCTCATGAGAGAGAGAGAGAGAGAGAGAGAGAGCCTGTGAATGGCCCCATAAAGCTCTCTAGCCAATCACATTAGACAACCCCATGTGCCTTTGCATAATCCCTCCCCACCTCAAAAGAGGCTTTACATGAGCCCCTCTCCCCTCCTTTAAAGTTCAAACGTTTATAGGTGATGAAAGGGTACAGAGAGAGAGGGGGTAGGAGGGCCAAAAAAGAAAAAGAAAAGATAGAAAAGGACTTTAGTGCAAGTGGGAATAATGGATGTTTATTGCTCCTCGCCCTCCCTCATTAGATTCACCCCTCCATTATAGGGAAAAAAAAAGAGAGAGAGAGATAGAGAGGGAGCTGAAAGCCCACAAGCCCACACGAGAACCTTGAGAGATCATCATCAGGGACCACCACCCCCCCAACCCCCTTCCTCTTTCTTTATTAGGGGACCACGATTTACGACAATTTTCCATGTCAGGGTTAGCCTCTAATTAACCCTTCAAGTGCTTGAACGGCCGTGCCGCGTCACGGTCAGAGGGCCCCAGAGCGATGCATCTCATCGGTCGGTTTCGTCGTTATCGCTTACCGAGGCGACGACAGCCGTCCGAGCTGGATTTAGGATCAAACATTTATAGGTGTGGGTTTTGTCAGTTAATTAATTAGGGCCTGTTTGTTTCGATTTTTTTGAAGAGGAAAGTGGTGTGAAAGCTGTCAAAACTGACAAAAACTGTCAGTTTTGACAGGTTTTCTTGCAAAAACACCTCTAAAAAAAATATTTTTGCAAGAAAACCTGTCAAAACTGACAAAAACACCTCTAAAAAAAATATTTTTGCAAGAAAACCTGTCAAAACTGACAGTTTTGGCAATCTTTCCTCTTCAAAAAAATCAAAACAAAGGGACCCTTATTGGATGGATATGTGGGAGAGTAGAGTCGCTCTCATCAATCAGGGGCAGGGGACTAATCCCGACTCGGCGCCGCTTTTTGCATGTTTATCACTGGTTACAGCTTAATTATTGATATGCTATTAGATTTAGTATTAGACTTAGATTGTGGGGCGGGGGTGGGGGGGCGCGTTTTTTGATTTAGCCCTGTATTTATTAGTGATGTAGCTGGATGCCCTTCTTACAAAAGAGTGCGTGTGCAAGCGTTTATCGGTTTGACTTTTATTATCCATTTGTGGCTTCTATTCTCCATGTGATAAGGCCCTAAGGGGCAAGTAATCCTTTTTTTGCTGGTCGAAACGCTTTTCCTCTTGTATTGAAAAATCCTATAACTCTTCGACTCTTTCCAACAACGGCGAAAGGCATCGATGTCTTGCTAGAAACAATTGATAGTAGAGTAAACGAAACAGGTGTGTTTCTCTATGCTCTTAGCTGGTATGTCGCTGATTAGCTTTCTAGCGCGCGAGAGCCTATGGCGCCTGCTCTCGCTTGTTAAGATTAGAGAGGTTATCAAAACCTTCTTTTTTATGGTCAAGGTGGTCATTATCATAAAGGGAACGGCATTATTAGCTTTAATTATCGCAATCATTTCTGTATTAGCTAATTTCTCCGCATAGTAACCTTAATAAGCCTACGGAGCGTTCGAGGGTTGAGAGCTGGCCCTTGACCCGATGGGCCCGTGCGTTCTGCTGTTGGGCTGCGTAAGGGAGGAAGTAAGGGGGTATCGGAGACTGGTCTGATGAGCCTATATGCAATTTGCACGACAACAAGGAGTTGGATGTAAAACTTCAACGAAGAGAAACTTTACTTTGAAAACAGTGGACGTTTGAAAACAACAGGCGTGTAACAATAGACGTTTGGAAATAATAGGCGGGTAACTTATTTTTGCGAAACGCATTAAAATCACCAGCTCATAACACCATAAAATCCTTATACGTTTGTTTTTCTAAAAACATGTTTCGGAAAATATGGTGACCACGGCTGACCCAACATTTGAACCTCAATACTTGAGAGGATGACATGAAAATAATAATATTTCATTTGTTCTATACTTAAGAGGATGTCGTTAAAATAATAATATTCACTTGTTTGACGTGAAAGAAAGAAGGGAAATTCTAGGAAGTACTCTTTTTTTTTGCAGGTGTGAAGATAATTTTTTTTTTTCAAAATAACTCTCTACCCATAGTAAATGGAAAACGTCATCCTATTTTCTATAGGTGTGACGATAAAATTTGTACTCCAAAACATTCATGCACGCAGTTTGTTGTGGCATAGAATTGGGTATGTTAATGGATTAAAGGCATGTTTCACAACTGGTCAAATTGATTTATAAGTCACTTTTGTGGATTATAAACCATTACAACATATTTGGCAACCGGCTTATTTTGGTTTATAAGTCCAAAAAAATAAGCAAAAAAAAAAAAAGCTCCCATAACACAGCGTATTCTTGGTGGCTTATAAGCCAGATAGTTTGACCTAGAAAATATCAAGTTTACCCCTCAACATATAAGATAATTTCAAAGTCTATTCAATGTTTAAATTTAGAGTCATGTCTTTTTCGTTATTTTGACAACAACAATGGATTATAATCCACCCATTTGCCAAACGCTCTCTTTTAAATACGGCTTATAGTCCTTTTTTTACCAAAAACTTTGGCTTATAATCCACTCGGCTTACAATTTATTTGTGGATTATAAGCTAAGTGGATTATAAGTTAGGTTCCCAAACATCTTGTAACCTAAGTTTCACTGGTCCATATAAACAATCCAAGCTCATAAGCTTTGTGATTCCAATATATTTACAACTATAAAACTATGTGAATTGAAAAACATAAAACAGGAGGACAATTAGGGAATGGAGGAAATAGTTTTATATTGTAACATGTCTTAGGTTGAGCGTTCTTTTCATTGATCGGAAATCTAGACTTGAGCAAAAGTGTAGGTTTTCCTAAAATCCTTTTTAAATTTGTGATTAGTGAGATTTGAATCTGGATTACTTTGATATCATCTTAAGGACCATGTGAAGGATATTATGGTTTTCTGAATTGATGTTGATAAGATCTTCAATTTCAGTTTAATAAGTTATATTGTTTAGGAGGTTGTTGCAACTTTGATGCTTTTGTTAGGATTTTATGTTTCACGTTTCAGTTACCACAATCTGTTGAGTGGGTTGTTTTCTTGGTTCTGTTAGTACTTGTAAAGGCTATATAAAGCCATCGTTGTTATTCAATAAATGTGTGATTCAAACCAGTTGTTGTGAACTAGTTCATAAGTTCATTACTTTCAAAGTCTTAACAATCTGGTATCAGAGTACCACACATGGGCCTGATTGAGTAAAGTTAAAAACCACAGTGTCCTAACAAGAGAGAGAGAGCGAAACACTTGTGAGATCGAGTGCTTTGAGAGAGATGACAGCCGAAGGGAAGTTGTTGAGCATTCCACACTTCGATGGAGACTACGAACATTGGGTAATGTTGATGGAGAATCTCCTACGATCGAAGGAGTATTGGAATCTCATAGAATTCGGCTATTCAGAACCTGTCGCAGGAGCGACAATGACCGAAGCACAGAGAAGGACTTTGGAGGAACTCAAGCTGAAGGACTTTAAGATGAAAAATTACCTTTCCAGTCCATTGACAAGACCATCTGATACAGGTGTATCTTCTCTTCGGGAGCTTAACGATCCTCATGGGAGCTTGAGGATAGATGATTCTCATGGTATCTTGAGAATAGTGTAGAGGAGTCGTGGACGAGGCCATTGGAGGCGACGAAGTCGAAGGATTCATCAAAACTGCAGGAATTACAGTTGGACTCTGGCCGGTCGATCGGTTTGGTCACGGCGGTCGCCCGCTTAGTGCACAGACCCAGACTATGTCTCGGGACTGAGAGCGGTCGACCGATGATGGCGCTGCGGTCGACCGGAAACACTGTAATTGATTTTTCCAGTTTTCGACGTTCTGACCAGTCGACCGCCTTGGGCACTGCGGTCGACCGCGTAGCGGTTCCGGGCCTGGGTCTGTTTCCTGCTCCAGTTGGGATTTCTGTTTAGTATAAATAGAAACACGACTTTTCTAGGGTTTAGAACTCAGATTGAAATCAGAAAAGAGACCAGGGAGGTTGTTCTTTGATCTAGAGAGATTATGAGAGAGAGATTTTGTAAATCCAATTGATTCTCATAATCTAGAGAAGGTATTTTCCTTCTCCCTAATTATAACTCTTGTGTTCTTCAGTCGTTTTCTTCTTTACCCACTCTTGATAATTCTGCGATCAAGAGTGCTCTCACGGCAACTCGTATC